AAGCAAACAATCACAGACCAGCAAGAAAAAATAGCAGTATTGGAAGATAAACTTATTAAGGTTCAGTCTGATGTAGCTGATGAGATAGAAACGAAACAAGCGATTAATAATTTAACAAAAGAGATGGAGTCGTTGAAGGAGCAGTTAACCAGTGCAGGACTAGCTAGCAATGATGAAGTGACAGCTCTTAAAGAAGAAAGGAACAAATTGTCACAAGAGAAAGATGAAGCTGTGGCAGAAAAGGATAGACTCCTACAGGATAAAGATAGATTACTACAAGAGAAAGACAGATTTTTAAATGAAAAAGATAAGCTTGTACAAGAAAGAGATAAAACATCAAAGGAAAATGAGCAATTAAAGAATCAGTTAGCCAGTACACACCATGTAATTTAAATTTATTAATAGCTATTAGGCTGTCTATTGCAAAAGATGATATCACTCACTTGGAGTCTGAAAGAGGAAACTTATTGACTCAATTGCAGAATGAGAAAGAAAGAGTGTAAGTAGAACACAACAGAACATTATTAATATACTCCATACCATGTGTACTGTTATTACTACTGTATAGTCATGAGTTAAATGTACAACTTGATCAGACAAAGAAGCAACTGCAACAAGCAAAAGCAGAGGCTGTGAAAGAGATGAAACGTCAAAAGGCTCATATTTTACAATTATTAAAAGAAAAGGATGAAGCTGTCAGTAAAGCAGCTATATATGCTGAAGAGAGGGACAGTGCAGCAGCTGAATATCAGAAGAAAGAGAATCAAGCAGAACACTGGAAAATACAAGTAGTATAAATGTACATTTATATTCCTTTCTCTTTCTCTCTTTCCCTCTATCTGTAGTTCGAAGTTGCTAGAGAAGATTTTAATTCTGAAAGAAAAGCGAGAGAGAAGGAGATAAAAGCTGTTGATGCCTTGAGAAACAATCGAGAGAGTCTTCAAAAACAAATTGATGACTTGAAGGATAAAGTCACTCTCCAGAAGCGGACCATAGCCAACCTTGAGGACAGACTGAGCAAACATGAACCTGTAAATAGGACGCCCCTTGTACCAATGGACCGTGGACCTGGGCCTATGGACCGTAATCCTGGACTGAGACATATGAATTGTGGACCTAGACCGATGGACTGCAGACCTAGACCGATGGACCGTGGACCTGGACCGATGGACTGTGGACCTAGACCAATGGACCGTGGACCTAGACCTATGGACCATGGACCACCTATGGACCATGGACCACCTATGGACCGTGGCATGGGCCGTAGATTTAGACCTATGGACCGTAGACCTGTGGATTGTGGTCCTTTACCTTATGTGGATTTTACACCATTGCCAAAGCCACCAAAAAGGGTGGCAGAAAAGTCACCAAAGCATGAAGAATAACAGATTCACTAACTTTGCTTTGTCAACTTGTATTCATAATTAATTTTAATGCATAGGTGTGGTTAAAGTTATTATGGGGCGTGGTTTGCGTCAGATGGCCCGTTTAGGGGTAAATCCCTAAGCTTATTCACTTTTTCTTACTCATCCAGTCCATTCTCTTGTTACAGAGAATAATATCAGATACACACACACACAGTGATTGGAGGACAGTGCAGCTGTGTATATACCGTGACTAGTA